CAAATATTGGTCTTCATAACATATCGAGTTAGCAAGATTCCTCCAATATCATGTGGGGAGATATGTAATGTTGTGGGAATAGAAGTCCAAATGTTTGATCTTTGATAGTATTTGGAAAGAACGGGTTATTAAGATATATATGATGATTGGCAATAAAGAATTCTAGTACATGTTAGGGCCCTTTAACCTTGTCATACTTATGATGGTTGAAGTATAATTTGAAAATATCTGCCAAACTTATATGCACTTGACCACCACAAGCATCTCATACTTTCAGGTTGTTGTTCTTCTTGAATCTCCACCTCATACCCGTATTGAACATTCTGGGGATGATTCACCTGTCAAGGCTACCATCATGAATCTCCTTGTATTTGTCTGTAACAGTTCATTAGGGGATAATTCTATTAGCGTTTCAAAGCGATGCTTTGTCTATTGAGGGAGAAGGAGATAATCCCTATTGATGGATTTTGGCTAAGGAATCTCTCCCAATTACTTTGGTTTAGGAATTTCTCCTTGGCTTGTTTGCACTATCTTTGGTTTCTTTTCTTTTGTAATTGCTTTTCACTCCTCAGTGCTTCAAAACTCTTTTCTTGTTTTTCTCCATTATGAAGAGCTTCATATTTACCTCTGATAGGAGAAAAATGGGTGGCCAATGACCTTGAGTCACTTACTCTAGGATATACCATGTAGTTTGTCATCGTGTGGGAAAGACATTTATTTAAGCCTTCCACACCGCTACCTTGAAAAGGGTTATGGATGGCCTAATGCCTCAAGTTGTAGACTTTAGAAAAGGCCTTGTAGTATCTAATCATATAAAGAGGGACTTTAAAGTGGCGATTTTAAGGACTATAAGATAGTTTACGGTCACTTGCAATTGTGTTGACATGTGTCAATACTTGGACATCTGAATGTTTATTGAAATTTATTTTATTGAGACTTTGTATCAACATGTATATCTAATGTGTATGATATCTAGATAAGTTTATCCTTCTTTTTAATTTTGGATAACAAGGCAATAGGTACGAACTCACCACTTTTCATTGGGATGTTAAAAAGTTAAACCATCAAATCATCAATTTCATTTGAGTAAATTACTGGAGATATATCATACGGGTAAAAGGTGTACAAAAGTGCATTTATCAGTTAAGAAGTCAAAGTGAATAAATTCTATGATTCTACATGTTGGTTAAATAATTATTTTAAAGTACTCAAATATATGAGTATTAACTTAAATCAACTTCTTTGGACACTAATTAAGAGGGGTATGGTAGATGTTTCTTTAAAAAAAGTAGTGGCATTTATTAGTGGTTAAGAAACAATTATTACTCATGTGGGTGATGTCACAATGATGTCATCCTTCATTATAGATAATAAATATTTTTTTTCTATCAAAAATTTAAATTTTATCTCTATTTAATTATCTAAAATACCCCTAGACAAAAAGATTACTATATGGTGGAGTAAGGGTATTGAGTGTCTAAAAATGCCGAGTACATTAAATAATGGGTCATTTGGGACTTTGTATGCAAACATACCGGGTTTATTTCGATACTTGGTTTTGTTGATTCTAGTATTTATAAAAATTGATTTTGAGCACAATGCTGTTTAGCTGGTTTCTAGAAGAACCCAATATATATAAAAGCTGATATTTACCTTGTTAGGCATCATGAAGATGAAAGCCAAGTTTTGGTTGTTTGCTGTTGATGCAGTTTAACCGTTGATTCTATAAGTTCATGATTTCGTACTAATACATGTTCAAATAAAAATATTTTTGGAAATAAGTTATCCATAATGTAAAAAATAAATTAGATGGTTCCCATCATATTTTCTAATATTTTTATAGGTCCAATTATGATTCTCTCTCTTACTTTCACTCTCTCTCTACGTACACGACCTGTATTACATCATATCCACAACCCTGCATCTTATTAGTTAACAACATGGATTCTATCCATATTTGTTAAACTTGCAAGAAAAACATGGATTTTCATATAGTCAAACCATGTTAAACTTACAAAAAACACGAATGGAAAATAAAAAGACCCGATAAGCTTTGATTTACAGTAAAAATCTTAGATTAACAGGGAACGCTATAGAGACATATTCTTTGGTCTATGGGGAAGAGGTTGACAGTCCCTTGTAAATTCAGATAACATCCTTTAAAGTCACAGTTTATTGTGGATTATCTAAGGTCAAATTGCTACACGATGAATTGGACACATTAGATGAGAAGGGACTTCTGGACTAGCAAAAGCTTGCCATTCCCTTGTAAATTCAGATAACATCCTTTAAAGTCACAGTTTATTGTGGATCATCTAAGGTCAAATTTCTATACGATAAATTGGAGAAGATGAGAGCGACTTCATCCAATTCACCATTTTGTGGTGCTGGAATACACATGCTTTGGGTATAATTTCTATATTAAAAAAAAAGGGTAAGACTGACTTAGGTATGATATCTATCAAAAAAAAGAAAATAAAGGTAGATTGACTTGGGTATGTGCCACCTAAGTCACCCTCGAAATGTTTGGATCGGACCCTAATCAAGACATGAAATAGGCAGCCTAGCTGCCATTATATGCTGCTAGGACATACCTGCTTGAGGGCTGTCACTCGTATACTTTGGTATATGAGCTGCTAATTTTCCTAGGGTTTGATAAGCAAATATGAAAATTGGTAGCCTGAAAGCTGAGACCTGTTTGATAAATTGTAGTGCTATTATTTTCAATCGGGGGACAAAGACCTCCGCATAAATATCGCATATTTTTAGACCATCACGTAATAAAGGTCAAATAAAACGGCAAAAACGTTATATTAGCAAATATTATTACAATATTATATTATATATAGTATTATTATTATAATATATAATATATCTATAATAATAATAATACTATATATAATATTATTATATATATTATAATATATTATATTGTATATAATATGGTATATTATTATATAAAAGCATAAATATTTTATAATATATTATTATATAGCCACTGTCATAATGTTAACTTTCATTAATAGCGTGAGTTTTGCTGAAAATAGTGGTGCTGGGGTACCCCAAAACAATAATTTTCTTTAAGGGAATAGTGAATGGGGAGAACTTATGTTCCAACTTTCTCCCATTTTTATTAATCCTAATCAAATAAGGAAAGTCAGGCACTTTCACTACCTTACACAATTATCAAACGTCCCCCCAACAAGTGAATATCATTAGCCATCTTATATATGTGACAGACCAGTGTTACATAGGTGTCCACATGGATGTTGTGTCTAGTACGTGTCCCAAGTGCCTCGTGTTTTGGCCCAAAAACCCTATATGGTGCCAATACATCCATACAATCATCATTTATAAATATAATATATACACAAATCATAGAAGAATTTCAAAATATAATAGATTAAAATAAAAAATAATGACATAAAAGCCAAAAAAAAATTATTATTTGAAATAAAATTAAAATATATACCATTATTTTATGCAAAAGGAATATGTTGTACAATGCATGTTCAAAAGCTTCCATAATTGTATTGGTAAAACCATTGATAATTTGATATATCTATTATGGTGTGAGTTTAAATTCAACCAAATGTGTTAAAATATAGAACGCAATTAAAACCTTATTAATATGATAATATATATATAAAAGCATTAATGATACAACATTCTAGGAGAGACTCTTTTTTAAATCTCATATATTACTTTTTTATAAACGTGTCGTGCATAAGAGAGTTCTTCTTATTAGTCCTTTAAATAAGAATGTTATTTCATTTGACCAAGGGTTATGTTAGGGTACTTATATGTGGTTTGTATCATGCTGATGCCCTAAAGAAGCAAACTCGGTCCAATTTATTATCGAAAGAAGTTGTTTTAGTATTAAGAATTTAATGGCCTGACATCTAATTATAAAAAGAAAAAGTTTATATAGAGCGTAGGCTCCAAATAATCAGATTAGAGCCTATTTTAAATATTTTATTAGAAGAGGTTTGAAAAAATAGATTTCAAGCTCTGAAAATAGTGCATCATGTAACAAAGTTTTGGACAATCGATTTTTAAGTTTTCATAGATCTGCTTGATATACACTATTTTTTAAGCTTTAAATTTTATAATTAAAAATGGAAAATATATTTTAAGGCTATTACAAAGATTTCCAATATTGAAATCACATTTCTTGACACTATTTGAAGGTGGGCTCTAATTTGATTGTTTAGAGTCTTGGCTCTATACAAACTCCGCCCATTATAAAATTTAAATATTAAAAAATAGTGTAGATCGAGCAGATATATAAACTCCTGAAAATTGACGGACCAAAAAATGCATTACAAGATGCATTGTTTCCAAGACTTGAAATCCATATTTTTTTTTCATGTCCATATATCTTGAGGTTGAAACGATCGATGTGAAGATTTTATTTTTTTAACAATAAATTTGAATGTTTTTTTAACATCGAAACAACCGCTTCTAGTGACTTTTTGAGGTTCACCTTAATTTAATTGTTTAGGGCCTCACCCTTATATAAACGTTTTCCTTTAACTATTCTTACATGTTTGTTTATGCAAAGAAATTGACATGGTTAGAAAATCAATAATTTCAAGGGTTGTTATGGTCCTTTGGAAACGGCAATATTATACACCGTAGGGGTGTCAATAAAACAGGTACGGGCCGAGTCCGGCTGGACGCGAACCCAAAATAGTGTTGGGGTCTAGGTTTTGGACTCGGACCCGACCTGTTGGGTCCAAATATTGAACTCATACTAGGACCTCTGTTGGGAATACCGGGCGGATCCCGGGTCAATGGGATCGTTATTAAGGGAGCTAAATTCCCACCACATTTTTTGGAATATACAAATGAAGAACATTTTCGTATTTCTTGTGACGATGGAGGAGATTCTGGTCATTTGAGTGAATACAAAATAGCAAAATAATGTAATTAAATAAGAAAATATCCCCTCCTCTGACTGTTGTTAAATCTCCGCCCCTCCTACCTTATCACACACCCTCACTCTTTTTATCTCATCTCCCTTCAATCCTCTCTCTTTCTCTCTCCTCATAACCTAACTATAAACACCCCATGGGGCGTTAAATAAGTCTCTCTCATTCAATCCTCTTCCGCTCTTGCCCGTCTTTGCAGGCTCAACTTATTTCTCGCATTCTCTCTGTAAGTTAGAATTAATGGAGCTTTAATGGCGGATAGAAGTGGAGCTGTTTCCAATACTCTATAACGAAGACACGCCCTTCGCCATCATTTCTGATTGCCTCAGTTAAAGGTTCAAAGCTTTTGGGATTTGGGAATTAGCTTTTTGGTTCAAAGGTAACTTAACCTTTTCCTTCCAGAAATTTCTTTTCATAGCCCGAAATAGTAAAGAATCCTCTGCTCTTCCTTTTGGTTTATCTTTGCATATCTTTTAGCACTCGGCGAAGCGATTTGGACTTCACTCTTATCAGAATCTCTCTCTGTTTTGAAGTAAAACTCGACTTGTAAAACGATTGGGGATAAAATCTTGCAAGATAAGTATTTCTCCATTTAATGAAAATAAAATGTATTTCTGAATTCAAAACTAATGCTTTCCAGTAAAGTAGATGAAATCTTTTAAGTTGGAAACTAACATTTGGCAATACAGTAGATAAAAAACTTGGTGTTCGATGCCTTATGTTATAAAAATGAATGGTTTATTCATCTGAACCTATTCTATGTAAATAAATTCCCTTTTATTCAATATGTCTTCTTGAAATTATTGCTCTGCTCTATTAGTCTGGATTCACATAGTAATTTTATGCTTCTTGGGTAAATTTCACACGGTAGCTTTAATTTTAATTTATTAATTGAGTTTTTGTTCAACTTCACACGAATACTCTGCGAGAGAGAGTATATTCGTGAGATACTCCATCACACTCAAAAGAAATGCAAATAGCATGTATATTATGTTCCCTTCGGAATATAGTTTACTCCTGTTCCCTTGGTCAGAGTTTTTCAATTTGAAAATTTGAGAACTATTTAAGAATTATTAAATTATTATTCTCAAAAAAATTTAAAATTAGAGTTTTTTAATATTTAGATCTCATCGTCTAAAAATTATATTGTCTCTATTGAATATCTAGACATTTTTTTTTTTTTAAGTATATAAAGGGTACAAATAGAAAATTTCTCTTGTTAATGTCAATCTATAGGTTGAGGAGGTTCATCCCCTAAATTTAAGGTCCTCCTTCTATCGGATGAGTAGAATATCTTGTGGGGAAAATAAATTTTGTTCTCCTTTGTGAAAATCGAACGTGTCACCGTTGGTATAGTTAAGAACGAGAGGGAAAGATCGTGCATACGGTCTAGTGTACCTAAAATATGGATATGGAAACAGTTTAACTAGCTTAACTGGTAAATCGACTTATTCAACTATTTTAACTGAACAGTGATTAAAAATTTGTTGAAAAAATAAAAAAGATACAAAAAAATATATTAAAATATAAAAACTATATAAATAATGATTACAACAAAACATATTCAAATGAAGTTTGAAGTTGAAAATTAATAAAAAAATAAATTTTACTGCCTAAGGGTATTTTTAAAAGTTTTCAAAAAAATTGAAAAAAATATAAAAACAGAGTATTAATGACTAAAACAATTTCTAATTTCACCGTAATATAAAAAAATTATAAAATGTATTATAAACCCAATTCTTTAAGGGCGATTTCCGGATAGATCTCGATTTTCCCAGCATGATAAGGTCTATATTAAAGCGTGAGCGTATAAGTAACTCGGCATGAGTTAGAGTGCAGTAAGGTCCAAGTAACTCGGCCTGAGTTGGCAAGTTGGCTAAAAATACTTCCCCTTATTCAACCATCTATTCTGAATGGAGGAATGGAGGGCTAAGATTGACCCAATCACAATGTCACATCTCTACATTATTTTATTTTTAATTATTTTTAGATAAACTATTTTGACACTAAATTTCGGATGTCCAATCTTATATGAAACTCGCATTTGCAAAAAATATTTCTAATAAAATAAAATGACTAAAATACCTTTAATAGTTTCAATAGGTGTTTTGGTCATTATATTTTATGGGAAAATTATATTTAATATTTTTTATAAGTACGTCCCAATGAGAAGATGGCACGTACCAAATTTTATATTCATACAATTTGTATTAAAAAAATTAAAAATAAAATATTTGAAGACGTCGGATTTAAGATCAAACAGTGAGTGACTCTCAAAATTGAACAGCTGGATGGTAGGAGAAGCATAGATCTTCTATGCTTTATGAAAAGTAAAGAAACATTTCCCTTTTAAAAATGTGAAAAATATGTTTAAAGTAAAGCTAAACAAAACACAATGAAGTTAAAATAAGCAGTGAAAATAGACTTTGAAAAAATCAAATTATGACCTGGGGTATTTTAAAAAGAGTAATCATCCTATGAGACCCTCCCACACGTATATGTGTAGGATCTCAAAGGATCACCATTAAATTTGACACTGATCTCTATAAAAGTTATTACATGGGTGTAGGACTTGACTTTTCTAGATATCTATGTCAAATTTAATGGTGATTTTTTGGGATCTTATACACATGGGTGTGAGAGGGTTTCATAAGATCATTACTCAAACAAATAATCCAAAAAAAAAAAAATAATAAGTAATAATTAATAACTAAGACTACTACTACTAACTACTTACTACCTAACTAACTACGTAACTAACTACTAAATAAATAAAACTAAAA